AAGAACACTAACTCGGAAGGAAGCCCTTGGCGGGAAAGGGAACACGCATACACAAGACAGATCGTTTCTAGCCTTCTGCTAGTCGTAGCCACAGCCGTGAGCGTTTGGCTGCGGTTAGCGGAATCTCTGAAAGCTTCACAGATATTGGAAGACTCTTTTTGATAGACTTTTTTGGGGTTGCTTTGCAGTGTAGGCAGCTGTTGCCAATGCTGAAATAGCAAGTTTTTCTGCAGGATAGTTATAGGCATCCAAAGAGTTAAACGTCCTCAGTTTCTCTTTACTATCCATGCTTGTTTCCTCTATCAGGTGTGTAGATGTCTGGTCATTGAGTCAGCGTGTATGGGTCGGCCAATCCGGACCCCTGGTTAAAGTCTTTCTCAAGTAACACTTGCGGTCCCGGACAGAGAGTGACTGTACGTACTCGGACTTTGCAAACAAACTTGCTAACGCGATAATTATTCTTCTCACGCGACTCCATGAGCGGGTAATAGTTACACTCGGTAGAAGAGGGTCGGTGACAATCCCGGTAGCAAAGACTAAACTCTATTTGGAACGAGCTGGATCCCAGTTATCTGGAACGGTACATGCAAATGGACACGACACCCGGCACTGCTCATGTAAACAAGTGCGGTGGACGGAAGGCCGCCGGTGTTGAAATCACACTGTGTGTATTCAGGTCTTACCAACGTGTGCGTGATTGAAATATGGGACGGATTCTGCATTGACGCACGTCGGAGGGTGAGTCATCAGATTGTAGGAGAAGGACCAGCTCTTGTCTGTCACACATGCATATCACATTGAGCCTTGCGCGCACACACACACACACACACTGACTTCCAAGCACACAGAGGGCTCAATGTAATGGGCTGTTTGTGTTTAAGGTTAATACGCTCTGCCGTCAGCGCTCGACCCTGGCAGCATAATGTGTTTAAAGCAGCTCCTCTCGTTCTTTGTGCCGGCGCATGCTCCTCAGTAAGCTGCCTGGAGCTGTCAACAACCACTGTTAACAGCTGCTTCACAAAAGAGACGCCACAATGACTCATCAGCGGCAAGTCCTCTTTCTTGGTGAAAATGTGACGGTTCACTATTTTCTGACATTTTATGGATCAAACGGTTATGATTTATAGAATCGATAGTAAAAATAATCATTATTTTCACTCCTACACTAAAGTACTGTAGAATAAACATATACAAAATATATGAGACTCTTTTTGTCCGTCGCCATCTTGGTTTTTTGTCGTTGTTTTTAAACCAAAAGTGACACGAGAGGGTGGCATTAAGTCCATCCCAACGCTGGTTGAGACATTTTTTAGGCGACCAAAACGGTAACTGGAAACACAACCCCTAAAGCATACTCTGCTTTATGGTCTATTTTACTCTAAATGGACCATAATTTACCAAGCAAACATGCTGAATGGAAGAAGACTTGAAACTAGAGGTTGAGATCATAAACTCATGTAGAGATGTCGAGGACTACCCCTTTACAAGCTGTCGGGCTTTCCTCTGTGAATGCGGCTCCAGATGAATGGATCCAGTCTCGCAGAAAGTGCTGGACTGAAACTCTAAACCAGTGAATGGAGTCTGTAAATACATTATGCAGCCTCTGCAAACACTGTGGTCATACACAATAATGGCCTCATCACATTGTGGGTGTTGGCCTGAGAGCTAATGTATCCATGTACACATGCCCGTGAGCGTCAGGTGTGTGTGTACGTGTCCCACTGGGCTGGTATTTGCTGTATCAGCATGGTCTCTGGCTGGTGTGGCGATTGGAAAACACTATCATGGAAAATTCCATAGTACACAGGCCCATCGTGTCTGTCCGTTTCTGACATTATAAACTAATTCCAATTGAATTTACCTTTAATATAATCTGTGAAAACTCCCCCCAGGCCCTTTAACACATTAATGTAGATCAAAAGAGACTGCCACACCTGGTCACATATTGATAAGCCTTAACTGTCATCTAACTGAACTCTGTCTGTCTGTCTGTATGTCCCTCGTGTTTCTCCACAACCGTTCGCCCGATCGACTTCACGCTAAAGACTCGAGACAAAAAGTTAAAAGTTGCCGCGCTCGTCGCCTGGGTTTGATTGTGTTTAGATTCTGAGAAACCTAGCTGCCCAACTTTTTAGCAAGCGAATCCTTGCATGCACACACGTTGCGACTAATTCCCGCATCCTAAGCAACAAACAGTGACTTAAATCCAAAAGGCGATCAAAGTAATAAAAGTTTTGTTTGTCATTTTATTCTGGGATAAAACCGAAGTCAACTGAAATCTATCTAAAAAGTTAGTGTTCTTGGAGAAACTCGTCAGCAGGAATGTAAAGTACAGCGTATGGATTTTGTAGTTTGGCAGCAAAAAACTCTCAAAACATGGCAGACCGTCACTATGGTCCTTTTTAAAGAGTTAAGACTTGACGGGCTAAATCTGTCCTGTCCTTGCCATGTTTTCTTGGCCTCCCTCATGAATTATCTCTTGCTTATCTTCCACTTCTCCGTTCCATTCTCGTGCTCCCCTCCGTCTCTGAAGAACCCGTCGTTGCTGTTTTCTCTCCGCGCCCATTAAATGATTTGTACTTCCCGTTTCATTCAGATCCCTTCGGTCATTTTAAATCAATAACCGTGAGTGGGTTTGAGTTGATTCACATTCCCAAAATGGCCGGCGATTTGGGGGGGGGGGGGAGGGGGCTGTGGTGTGGGTGTGTGGGTGTTTTGTGGTGTGTGTGTTTGTGTGTGTGTGTGTGTGTGTGTGTGGGGGGGATTGTTGGTCGTGAGCCCTGCTGCTCTCCTCCGGGCAGGAAGCATGGCGTCCAGAGAGGCTGTGATTACATTAACCCTCCCGTCTATTGGGTTAAGATGGATCAGACGCTGTCCTTTTCAAATAACATGTCGCCAGGCTCCTGCTGTGTGTAGCCGACTGCATGGAGGCTGAGCAGACCGTCCTATAACTTGAATACAACTGAGACCCACTCAGGATTAGCACTCATCTGTGGATCTTTAAACAGTCAGTTAAACATCTGTAAAAAAAAAAAAACCCACAACAAAACAACTTTGCACAGAAACAACTGTTCTGTCCTGGCAAAAGATACCAGTGCTTAAAGAAAACCAGACTCCACAGAGCTTGATGATCCATCACAGAAGTCTTGATCTGCCTTTTGTTCCATTTGATCAGGACTGAATTGTGCCTGACTGAGTGTTATCTTAGCAGAGCTGCTCTCTGTCCTTCATCTGACGGCCACAGGAAGTGACGGAAGTTCACTTTGAGAAAATGAACCTTGAGAAACATCTTTCCTTATACATTTTATTGCCATTTCAAATTAATTTCATACTCGGAAGGCAGTTGATTTCAAGCCCTATGCAAAAAACTAAAGTCAGAAAACAAGTTGGCGTTTAAAATGAGTTAATTGACCCTCTGCTAAGTCCCGCCTCATGAACGCAGACTGGCCAATCGTAGCGTAGCATCGGCCAGCTCTGACGAGGGTTCAGCAACGATCCGACTCTGCTCCATAAACTCTCATGCAATCGTTTAAGTTTTTCATTTTTAGGCGGGTTTAGTGGATTTAGAGCTTGTCCTGGTTAAACGTTGTGTAATAGTGATACTCACTACCCGGAGAGGTTGTAAGGAAATATACGTTTGTAAATTATGTTTCTATGTAAAAACCAGTGGAGCTAGCATTAGCAGAGTACATTGACAAAGCATTAACTAGCACTTCTATGCTACACTAGCTACTGATGGTATACTGAATGTATACACATGCTGCTTTAGCTTTTAAGTGATTGTAACAGTGGATGAAGACCTACCAGCTTTACAGGAACAGTGTTGTTCCTTAGTTTCATTGTCTTCTGTCTCGATGATCAGTTGATGTGATGGTTCACTTTAACACTGTGATCTGTATCTCTATCTTTTATCTTTTTAACCTGTTTACGCCGCTTAATCTGTTTGACATCCGGGATATATCCTTTAAACGCTTACTGTAGACCTTTCTGTCTGCTTCTCTCTGAGATCACTTTTTTGTATTTCTTCAGTTAGTGACAGTGTGGGCTCCATGGGAGCTCTGGCAACTTGACAGAGTAGCAGCAACTAACAACAAAGGGGCGGGGCTTTGTACAATTCCGCTGTCAATTGTACAGCGGAATACTTAATAACAAGTGTGCAGCCATGCCTCCGTGAGGCTTTGAGCTAAATGCTAACAGTAACAGTGCTAACGTGGTAATGTTAAGCTGGTATAGCACTGACAGTGTTTACCGAGTTAGCATTATCACGAGGTAGAGCTGAGGTGGGCGGGAATGCCGTGAGTTTTGCACATATTTGGTGATAAGCCAGAGTCTCTTATTCTTATTCTTGACCTGATGATGGAGGTAGATGAAACGTTAAGGGATCATTTCAGTGAGTACCATGACAGCCTGTACAACGTCTCATGGCAATCCAATATTTGTCTCGATATTTGTGCACCTGTAATAGTCTTAAATCCTGTTTTTGGAGACCTAGAAAATGGAAAGTATTGACGCCGAGGAGCTGACTAACCTGTTCCTGCTGCCTCTGTCATTCTCTCCTTTAATTATATTTGTCTAACAGCTCTCTCGCTCGCTCGCTTGTTTTTCTCTCCTCTTTGAACATTATATTCGTTACAGGAAAAGTCCAATCAATGGCGGTTTTCTTTCCTGCCTTTCCCTAATTGGTTGACATAGCTTGTGTTGTCATGACAGATGATGAAAGAGGGGACTGTTCTCAGAGTCGGGCCTCGGCCCTCAAACTAGTGTTGCCACGGTAACGGGGGTTCTGAGAATGGCTCCAGCGGGTCAACGATTCAGTGTCTGTTGTTGAGAGAGAGAGAGAGAGAGAGAGAGAGAGAGAGAGAGAGAGAGAGAG